TAGAGTCACCACAGTCTTGGTAGCATGCCTTCCTTGAGTCCCAGAGCCCAAAGTGAGTGCCCTGAAGTCCACTCTCATCAGCAGTGGCCTAAGAGCCAGATCAACTGATGTTTCCTAGCCAATGCACCAAATGTTATGGCAGAGTGCATGGAAAAACAATCAGTCAGCACTCTGAGGGAGGAAAGTTTAACCTTTACCTCACAGATCTGCTAGTCCAGGGGAATTCTGGATCCAAAGCCTGAACTGAACTCTTGGGAATCTCTGACCTATATATGTCCTCTTATGGCAGACCCCTGAGGGTTCCCACAGCTCCACTGAAGTCAGTCTTGGCAGGGTCTTGGCGGCATGCTCCACAGCTCTGCCCAAGTCAGTCAGAGTGGGGAAGTAAGACTACAGTTTTAAGCAGATATTGAAATAGGTTGCAAACCCCCTCCCATTTTCCTTTTCAGTATTAATTAAAACTTTGTTGTTATAATGCTCAGGTAATAATTTTCATTCCCAAATTAACCTAAGAGGGGGAAAACACACAAATTAATGTACAAAATAGTAAATAGGAAGAAGATTAAAAGGCAGACTATAAAAACCAATTTATCATAAATGAAGATAGAAACAAAGGAATTTATGTGGAAAGTATTATGTATCATATAGAAAACAAGAAATGGTAGGATAAGTCTTTTCTGAACTGTAATGATTCTAAATGTGAATGCATTACACTTTCCAGTTAAAAGACTGAGATTGGCAGAATGGCTAAAAATACATGATGTCATAATGGATTTTTAAAATTCTTCCTCTATATACCGTCAATAGAGAGTCATTTTAGATCCAAAATTATGAATATATTGAAAGTAAAATAATGAAAAGATAGTCCATGCAAATAGTAACCAGAACAAGCTGGGTGGTTATACTTCAAACACAATAAAACTTAAGATAAAAATTGCTATGAGAAACAAAGAAAGATGTTACATATTGATAAGAGGCTGAAACCATCAAGAAGATATAACAATCTACACTAATAAAAGAGAACGATACAAATTGACCATACCTTCATGATGCCCACCAGCCAATCAAGAGTTAGCATGCAAATTAACCCAACAAAGATCATGGGTTAATTTGCATTTGCAGGTGCTGCGTGGCTGTGTCCCACCCTATCCCCATCCCCTCAAGGCCTCTGGGCAGCGTGGGAAGGTGGAAAGGCAGCTCTGGCTGGAGCAAAGGCAGAAAGATGTCTCCAGGCCAGAGCGAAGGCGTTGCTGGCAGCCAGAGGAAGGAACAGCCATTCTTGCATGAATCTTTGTGCATCAGGCTTCTAATTATAAATATATATAAACCTAAAACAGAGACCAAAAACTATAGGAAGCAAAACTAAGTGAGAAAGAAAGATCTATAATAATACTTGTCCTATTTTTAATAATGGATAGAACAACTAAACAGAGAATCAATTATGAAATAGAGGACTTAAACAATATTATAAAGCAACTAATCCTAACAGACAAATATAAAACACCTTATTCAACAATTACAAAAAAAAGTCATTTTTCTCAAGTGCACATGCAACATTCTCTGGAAGAGACCATATATCAGGCCTCAAAAATATAAAAAAAAATAAAATATTCTTATTATTCAAAGTATCTTCTCCACAATAGAATTAAGCTAGAAGTCAACAACAAAAGACTGATAAATTCATAAGTATGTGAAAATTAAACACCACACTATTAAACAATCAGTGAATCAACTAAGAAATTAAAAATGGAATAAAAAATATTTTGAGAAGAACAAAATAAAAACTTAATACCAAAATTTATGGCATGTAGCAAAAACAGTGCTCAGAGAAAAGTAGCCTAAATTTAGATTTCAAAAAAAACTCGAAAAGAAGAACAAACTTAACTCAAACTAGCAAAAGAAAGGAAATGATAAATATTAAAATGGAGAATAAAAAATTTTAAAAAATAATTAAGAAGACCAAAAGTTGTTTATTTGGAAAGTCAACAAACTTAACAAACCTTTAACTAGAGTGACTAAGAAAAAAAGAGAAGGCACAAATCATTAAATTATAGGTGAAATAAGGGGCATTATTGCTAACTCTAGAGAAGTTAAAAGAATTATAAAAAGAATACAGTGAATAATTGAATTCCAGTAAATCAAATAAATGAATGAAATCAACAAATTCTAGAAACACATAAACTATAAAAATGACTCAATAAGAAACAGAGAATCTGATGAGACTGATAATAAAGATATTGAAACCTTCCAACAAGGAAAGCCCAGAACTGAGGGCTTCATTAACAAATTCTACCAAACATTTTAAAGAATTATTAACACCATTTTTTCTCCAATTTCTATAAAATAGAAGATATGGCAACATTTTGTAATTCATTTTGTGAGACCAGGGTTATCTAGAAACTAAAGTCAGATAATGGCATCACAAAAAAGAGACAAGTATGAACCAGTATAACTTATGAGTATAGGTGCAAAAATCTTAAACAAAATACTAACCAACTAAATTCAGCATCCTATATACACCATGATCAGGTGATTTATCTCAGGAATGCAAGAATGATTTGACATATAAAAATAATACAACATGGATGTGAGGGCGATCTGGCTGCGACATCTGTCACCCCATTGATCGCCAGGGTTGATTCGGCTGATCTGGCTGGCTAGGCGGGTGTCCCCCTCCTCCCTCACCGATCCATGTGAGTCCCTCCCGAAGCTGTGCGCTCGGTCGAAGAGGACGACTTTCCCCCAAGAGGAGAGGACCGGTCTTCGGTCAAGGGTATACGAGTAGCTGCGCTCCCCTGCTAGAACCTCCAAACAAGCTCTAAAAATAATACAACATAATGCATCACAGTAGTAGAATAAAGATTTTTAAAAACACAATCATCTCACTTGATGCAGAAAAAGGATTTAACAAAAGATATCACTCTCTCATACTAAAAGTACTCAATAACCTAATAACAGAAAAGTTTCTCACCATAATAAAGGGGATTTATGAAAAACCCACAACTAACATATAATTCAATCATAAAAGAATGAAAGATTTCCATTTGAGATTAAGCCAGGTAGCTTAGTTGGTTGGAGCATCATTATGATATGCCAAGGTTACAGGTTCAATCCCTGGCCAGAACACATACAGAAAGTTACCAATGAATGCATAAATAGATAGAACAATAAGTTTCTCTTCCTCTCTCTCTCTCTCTCTCTCTCTCTCTCTCTCTCTCTCTCTCTCTCTCTCTCTCTCCCTTCCTCTGTCTCTCTAAAATCAATCAATAATTTCTTTTAAATGGAATGGGTCAATGGGAAAAAAAGGAAAATCTATAATACTTTCAATGACAAAGATAAATTTAAAAGTAAATAAATAAAATAATAGATACCCCAGGGAAAAATTATCTACAAATAAAAAATGAATAAATAAGTAATAAAATTAAAAATAGAAGAGAGGATGCTTGCTTTTTTTCCCCCACCTCCCATTCAACATTGTACTGGAAATTCTATCTAGAGCAATTAAGCAAGCAAGAAAATAAAAAGTGGGGGAAATTAGGGGGGAAATTATCACTGTTCAAAATCCTATAGAACTCTTGCACAAAATGTAGATCTAATACATGAATTCAGTGAAGTTTCAGAATACACAATTAACATGTGAAAATCAATTATAGCTCTATACACTAATCCTATATAATAAAAGGCTAATATGCAAATCAGCCAAACTGTGGAATGACCGGTCACTATGATGTGCAATGACCACCAAGGGGCAGATGCTCAATGCAGGGACTGCAGCCTGGTTGTCAGTGTATTATACTTCCACAGAGGGAGCACCACTCAAACAGAAGCCTGGGTCATGGCTGGCAAGCGCAGTGAAATCAACAAATTCTAGAAACACATAAACTAAAGCCTCTCCCAACTCCACAACAGTGCTAAGGATGTCCAACTGACGGCTTAGTCAGACACACCCTGAGGGCTCCTGGACTGTGAGAGGGTATAGGCCGAGGTGAGGAACCCTACCCCCAAAAGACCCCCCCCCCAGTGCATGAATTTTGTGCATTGGGCCTCTAGTAAGTTATAGTTCTATACACTAATAAGTTATTAAGAAAACAATTGCATTTATAAGACCATCAAAAATTATCTCAAATAAGAGCATCCTATATAATAAAAGCCTAATATGCTAAGAGTCTGACCATTCAACCAGTTGCTATGATGCACACTGACCACCAAGAGGCAGACACTTTGACCAGTACTAGGGTCTGGCCAATCAGGACTGGGGGACTGGGCAAGATAGGCCATGGAGCCCTTCTGTGGTCTCTCCCTGGCCCTGATTGTGCACCGGTGGGGTCCCTTGGCCTGGCCTGTGCCCTCTCACAATCTGGAACCCCTCAGAGGATGTCAGAGAGCTGGTTTTGGCCCGATATCCACAGGCCAGAATGAGGGACCCCACTGGTGTATGAATCTATGTACTAGGCCTCTAGTTAATTATAAAAAAGGAATGAAGTACTAGTACATGCTATAAAATGAATGACCATCAAAAGAGTATGCTAAGTGAAATAAGCCAGACACAAAAGGTTACCTATTTTATTATTTAATTTATATTAAATATTCAAATTAGCTAAACCCATGAAGACAAAAAAGCAGATTAGAGATTATCAGAGGATGGGGGAGGGTAGAATGAGGAGTGACTGCTTAATGGGTAGTGGTTTTCTCTGAGAATAATGAAATATTTTGGAACTAGAAATAGATGATGCTTGCATAATATTATAAATGTACTAAATACTATTGAATTATACAAATTTATTAATTTATATAGATTTTACCTCAATAAAAATAATGTATGTAACATGTAAGGTATTATCATCATCATCTTCACCACCACCATTACTACAGAAAATGTTTCCCAAATTTCACTTTCTTTGAAATGTTTAGATTATGAGATAAAATAAGTAGACTAAAATTTAAAACTAGTTAGTATTATTTGTATAATATGGTCTTGTCTTCTCTCTGTTCTCTTTCAGATTATGTCTGGCCACTCCCCAGACCTTTGTGCCCCGTCTGGATCTCGCTAGATGTTTTATTTTCGACAGCGTCCATCATGCACCTCTGCGCTATATCGCTGGATCGGTATGTAGCAATACGTAATCCTATTGAGCATAGCCGTTTCAATTCGCGGACTAAGGCCATCATGAAGATTGCTATCGTTTGGGCAATTTCTATAGGTAAATGACTTTCCTGGCCATTAGAATTGCAAGGGCTATGCTCAATACCTTCGGATTATGTACTGTGAACAACGACAGACGTCGACCGGTAACATTGCGTATAATCGGGATTATTGTTTGAAAATTATTCTTAACCTATTTACCTGATATTTAGGTTAACAATAATAGAATAAATGTAATGTGTATGAATATTAATTGAAATTTTTCCATTTATTCTGCTAAATTATTTTATGCATTAATATGCCAATGAATTCTACAACAGAGTCAAAATTTTGAGATGTTTAAAATCTTTTAAAGATGACAGATATCTAGCATATATAAATTTTTAAAAATATAGCATTTAAATCTTATAAAATATAAGTCTATCCCAGAATATTGATCTTAATATTTTAATTCTATTTTCATATCTTCTTCAGTGGAAATATTAATATTGCATAGGAATCTTCATGAAGTAAACATGACTAAGTTTATGCTGTTGATTAACCTAAAATATATTTGCCCTCCATTTTCAAATATTTTCTTGGATTTTTATTATACAGAAAGAGAAAAACTTCTTTATTTATTCAAAAAGATTTGGGAAAGGTTAAAGAAGAGAAATTATCATTTTATTGCTTGTAATTTGAGATATTCATGAGTGCCTTAATAATCTTAAGATTCAAGACACAGAATTTAACCAATTGGAATATAGGGGCTTCTACAATTCTCTTGTTTTCCTTTTCTTCTCTTTCTGTTGGAGCTTATATTTAGTGTCTTATTAAATAATTTTTTAATGTTAGATTCTGGTAACATTTACAACAAGATAAAGACCACTATACAATCTTCTCTGATATCCTCTAAAGATTTTGACTCTGGGTTTATCCATAAAATAAATTTATTTAACACTTAAGATTATTCCATTGTAGGTGAACACACACACACACACACACACACACACACACACACACTAACACTTTTGGACAAAAAAATGGAACTTACTTATACCACAAAAAAATGTGAATCTATATATATAGTTTGATCTACATATTCAAGGGTTCACAGATGTTACCTCCTTTACCCCAAAGAACTCTGCTAAAAATATGCCATTTTTTTATGCTTACAAATTAGAATATTAGGTAACTAACTGCTTTTCTCTTGCTCCTTTTAAGATTCTTTCTTTGTCTTTAACCTTTTGCATTTTAATTATGATGTATCTTGGTGTGGGCTTCTTTGGTTCATCTTGTTTTGAACTTTCTGTGCTTCCTGGACTTGTATGTCTATTAGGGAAATTCTCTGTCATTATTTTTCTAAATAGATTTTTAATTTCTTGCACTCTCTTTTCCTTCTGTGGCACTCCCATGTTGTGAATGTTGGCATGATTGAAGTTGGCCCAGTGATTCCTTATTTAGTTACCTAGAAAGAAGTTCCTGTAAGACTATTAGCTGATTTCTCAGCAGAAATTTTGCAGGCCAGAAGGGATTGACAAGAAATATTCAAAGTTATGAAAATCAAGGCCCTACAACCAAATTACTCTACCCAGTAAAGCTGTCACTTAGAATCAAAGAACAGATAAAGAGCTTCCCAGACAAGAAAAAGCTAAAGAAGTTCATCACCGCCAAATCTGTAACATATGAAATGTTAAAGGCTCTTTTTTAAACAGAAAAAAGATATCACAAATATGAACAATAAAAATGCAATAAATACATATCTATCAATAATTAAATCTAGAAAAAATAAGCAAGCAAGCAGAACAGAAAGAGACTCATAGATACAGATAACATTTTGACTATTGCCAGATGATAGATGTTCAGGGGGATAAGTGAAAAAGGTGAAGGGATTAAGAAGTATAAATTGGTAATTACAGAATAGCCATGGGAATGTAAAGAGCAGCATAGGGAATACAGCCAATGATATTTTAATAACTATGTATGGTGTCAGATGGGTGCAAGATTTATCAGGATGATCACTCAGTTAGTTATGTCTATTCACTGGGGTGTACACCTGAAACTAATATAATAACATATGTCAATTGCAATTGAAAAATTAAAAATAGATTTAAATTTTTTACAAGAGTAAAAACAAATTTTAAAAAACACATTGTATCACCTACAAAATATTAGAATATTAGGGGCATTAACTTCCAATAATGACTATGCTAAAAACAACTAAAATATGGAAAAAATACTCTAAGCTTGTGAAGCTAATAAGATTGTGGGATCCAGAAAAAGCCAGAATAATTATTATAACTTTTGGGTCATTTTGCCGGTGATGCATTTGTGAACCTAAATCTGTGACTGACAATTTAGAAAGCTTGTTTCATAATCTCATGAACAAAGGATATCATAATAGGAATATTGAACCTGGCAAGGGTCAACCAACTTGAACTTATTTTTTATATCCCTAATGTCTACGCACTAGAAATAAGGATGGTCCAGAATTAAGCCAACTTTGTTATATTATTTAGGCCTGATTCAAGTCATCTATGTAATTAAGAAAAATCTTATTCTGGAAATTTGATTAAGATGATTTTATATTCTTTTTGTTTCCAAGTTTTGGGGACAGGTAAAAAAAAATCATCATTCTAGGCTTCAAAGTATTTCTTTCAATAATCTTTCAATTCCAATAACTGGAGTAAATAATAAGTAGACACATGAAGAGACAAGACAACATGAACCAGATATACCACAATTAAAGATAATAAAAATGAATCAAAGATATTCAAGATAGTTCAATTACCTGAAATAAACTTTAAACAACTATGTATAATGTGCACACAAAAATTCCAAGCTGAAATTAAAATTTTAGCAAAACATGCAAACTATAAAGTGACATTTAAGATTTGAGAAACAACTAGAAAATCTGGAAATAAAGCATAACATGAAAACCTAAGAATTCAAAGACAAATTAGACATATCTAAAGAGAGCATTACTAGAGGCTGGTTAGAAGAAACTATCATGAATGATGGAAAAAAATGGAAGGATATAAAAGAAAGAAGAAAAAATAAGAAGATAATAAACATCCTATATAATAAAAGCCTAATATTCTAAGTGTCTAGTTGTCTGGTCACCTGTTCAACCAATTAAAGCATAATATGCTAATGATATGCTAAGGCTGCTCAACTGCTTGCTATAACATGCACTGACCACCTGGGGGCAGATGCTCCAACCGGAAGGTTAGCTTGCTTCTGGGGTCTGGCCGATCAGGACTGAGCAAGACAGGCCAGACATACCCTGGAGCCCTCCTATGGTCCCTCCCTGGCTGGCCAACCTCCTGAGTCCCTCCCCAGCCCCAATTGTGCACTGGTGGGGTCCCTCAGCCTAGCCTGTGCCCTTTCACAATCCAGGCTGATGGACCCCACCCCACCTCAAGTGCATGGATTTTATGCACAGTGTCTCTAGTATGATATAAAGTGAGAAGAGTTCCACAAGGTGATAAAAGAATGGCAGAAAAACAATATTTGAAGAAATAATGGCTTTTATAATTGGTGAAAAACACTCATTCTCACACATAAAGAGCTCAACAAGTCTCAAGAAGAATAAATAAAAAAATAATCAACATTTAGACTCATCACAATGACATTGCAGGAAAAAGAAAAACAGTATTAACCTTAAAGAAAAATAAAGAAAGAAAGATCAACTTCAATAGAGAAACAATAAGATGGGTGAATGGCTTCTCAACAACAATGAAAGCTAAAAGAGGTTGAAATTATAGTGTTAATGTGTTGGTTAAAAAAAGTGAATGCTGTTAGAATCATATACTCAGCAAATTTATATATCAATAATTGAAGTGAAATAAAGACATTATTGTACAAGCAAAAACTAAGAGAACATGACAAAAACAGACTCACTTAAGGAAACACTAATAGGTCTTCATAAACAAAGGAAATGCCACAGATGGAAAGGTTGGAGATACGGGAAGCAATTAAAGTGGTAAATGTGTAGCTAAATGAAAATAAATATTGACTGTGTTAAACAACAATAACAATGTCTTCTGGAGCTCAGAATGATTGTAGAACTAAAATGCACAAAACAATCTATAATAATAAAAGCATAATATGATAATTAGACCGGACAGCTGACTGACCTTCCAGACATCATTCCGGGTGTCCTTCTTGATGGCAGGGGCTGAGGCAGAGGCAGTTAGGGGCAATCAAGCAGGCAGGCAAGCAGTTACAGGCAATTAGGCAGGCAGGTGAGTTGTTAGGGGTAATCAGGCAGGCACACAGAGTGGTTAGGAGTAATGAGGCAGTTAGGAGCCAGAGGTCCAGATTGCAAGGGGGATGTCCAACCGCTGGTTTAGGCTTGATCCATCAGTCAGACATTCCCCCAAGGGGTCCCAGATTGTGAAAAGGTGCAGGCTGAGCTGAGGAACCCCCCTTCCCCATGTACTGGGCTTCTAATACCATATAAGCAAAGAGGGTTGAAAGTAAATTTTTTCATTGTCCAGGAGAAAGATAAAAATGATATTTTATATTAATCTTTGATAAATATACTACATAACTTTTTGTACATTCATTATACAAATATAAATGTTTAGCTTTCAAATTTATTGAGGAATATTATAGTACTAGTGACCTAGTGCACAAAATTTGTGCACGGGGATGCTGTCCCTCAACCCAGCCTGCACCCTCTCCAATCTGGGACTCCTAGGGGGATGAACTGGCAGTCAGACAACCCTCTTACAATCCAGGATCACTGGCTCCTAACTGCTCACCTGCCTGCCTGCTTGATTGTCCCTAACCACTCTGACTGCTGGCCTACTTGCCCCCAACTATCCCCCCTTGCTGGCCTGATTGCCCCCAACTTCCCCCTCCCTGACCAGCCTGATAGCTCCCAACTGCCCCACCTGTTGGCCTGTTCACCCCCAACTGCCCTCCCTTCCTGGCCTTATTCCCCCTAACTGCCTCTGCCTCAACCTCATCACCATTGCTTTGTCCAGAAGGATGTCCAAAAGGTATCCTGGACTAATTAGCATATTACCCTTTTATTAGATAGAGGCCTGGTGCATGGGCGGAGGCCGGCTG